CGCGACCGTTTTCCGGAAAAGAAAATGTTTTCGAGGGGCCCCTGCTAGGGTATGGAGGCCCAAATTCTTTAATCCCCCCCCCCAATCATATACCGGTTGACACGGCCCTGTCAGTTTATACTATAATAATTAGACAGTATAGTCTTTTAAATATAAAGTGCTTGAAGAGTTAAGTTCAAGATACTTGAAGAAGGAATATCTTCAAACAACTGCCAACATTTCACATGTTGTTTTTATTCTCCTGTAACATAACGGTTGTAAATGTAGTTTCAAGTCGAGTTGCAAATCTATTTATTTGATTTTTTGCAAATCTATTTATTTTTAATTAAGAGGTGTAGAAACTGCCCTCTTTCCAAAGAGACGGAATTGACCCCTAGGAGTAAAAAAGGTCAAATCTACTCTTTTGAATTTACAGTGTAGGCCAGTTCCAATTACAATTCACTATAACATGAATTACGTGTATGAAATTACTTTAATTGTCATATGTGAAATATATGACGTGATTTTCATATATGAAAATTCACATATGAAATTACCAAAATTCACATATGAAATGGATTTCATACATGAAATTTCTTTTTTCATATGTAAATTGTATAACTTCATATATGACTTGATTTTCACGTTTGAAAATTCTTATACGAAATTAGCTACCAAATTTCACATGTGTAATGGATTTCATATATGAAATTTAGTTTTCCATATGTGAATTGTATAACTTCATATATAACTTGATTTTCATATATGAAGATTCTTATATGAAATTACCAAATTTCACATGTGCAATGGATTTCATATATAAAATTTATTTTTTCATATGTGAATTGTATAACTTCATATACGACTTGATTTTCATATATGAAAATTCTTAAATGAAATTACCAAATTTCAGTGTGAAATGGATTCCATATATGAAATTTAGTTTTTCATATGTGAATTGTATAACTTCATATATAACTTGATTTTCATATATGAAGATTCTTATATGAAATTACCAAATTTCACATGTGAAATGGATTTCATATATAAAATTTATTTTTTCATATGTGAATTGTATAACTTCATATATGACTTGATTTTCATATATGAAAATTCTTAAATGAAATTACCAAATTTCAGTGTGAAATGGATTTCATATATGAAATTTAGTTTTTCATATGTGAATTGTATAACTTCATATATGACTTGATTTTCATATATGGAAATTCTTATATGAAATTACCAAATTTCACATGTGAAATGGATTTCATATATAAAATTTATTTTTTCATATGTGAATTGTATAACTTCATATACGACTTGATTTTCATATATGAAAATTCTTAAATGAAATTACCAAATTTCAGTGTGAAATGGATTCCATATATGAAATTTAGTTTTTCATATGTGAATTGTATAACTTCATATATAACTTGATTTTCATATATGAAGATTCTTATATGAAATTACCAAATTTCACATGTGAAATGGATTTCATATATAAAATTTATTTTTTCATATGTGAATTGTATAACTTCATATATGACTTCATTTTCATATATGAAAATTCTTATATGAAATTACCAAATTTCAGTATGAAATGGATTTCATATATGAAATTTAGTTTTTCATACGTGAATTGTATAACTTCATATATGACTTGATTTTCATATATGAAAATTCTTATATGAAATTACCAAATTTCACATGTGAAATGGATTTCATATATGAAATATAGTTTTTCATATATGAAATTAAAATTTCATATATGACCTGCTTTTCATATATGGAAATTTAATATGTGAAAAAGAGAATTTCACATATGAAACTGAAATTTCATATATGAAATTACCTTTTCACATGTGAAATTCTAATTTCATACATGAAAATCTTCATTTCATATATGAAAATCTTCATTTCATATATGAAACTCCAATTTCATATATGAATTTTAATGTGAAATTTTTGTAAGGGTTATCGAAGCGTTGCAAGTGTGAAAATATTCATTAAAAATGCCACAGTATCTATAATCAACACTTTATCAATTTTTATCAGTAAAAAGTTTCTCGAGAAAAAAAATTAGGCCTAACAATAACAACATTTCCGAGTTAATTACTAAATAACAACAGCGAATTCCAAACTATTCTTACAGCTATATTCTTATTTAAATATCCTGGTAACTTAACATATTTGAGCTTCCTTCCATGTGAAACAATAAAAGCCTACGGTGAGTTTAACAAAGAAAGACTTTAAATTCTGTATGCTTGATTTCCCGACGGCTATAAAGGTAGTCATAACAACTCTGATCGTCAGTACATGTTAATATGGCCAACACGACAGAGGTTGGAAAGATCAATGAAGGTGTAATATTGTCTGCCCATGAGGACAAGTTCAATGTGAATAGCAATGGAGAAAGAAATGGTTTTACGTCGCCCTCAAGAAGAGATTCGAAATCCCATCCTGAACAATTAGACAACACAGTCACAGATGAGAAGCACAGCACGATCTGGTATTGCCGATTCGTTGTGTCGCATACTAGATTGGCTTTCGGTAGGTTTTAAGTTTGTTTTGATATACTGTATTATAGACATATTAGGTAACTTTTTTCTTATAGACTTTCGATACTCTTAATTTCCTACCCGTGAAGAAGAAATATATTATTATATCTTACTTTTGATTTCCAAGCGAAATTTGGTCTCACAGCATGTAAATATAAAAATTCAAATAAAGATTCATTCCCTGTGTCATACTGCACGGAATATCCAATGAGCTTGCAAGCGATTGCCCCGAACTTGCAGTAGGTTAAAACCCAGAGATTGATCTGGCGGCTTTTGTCTGAACCTAGGTATATGTGTAACAAAGTACTTGACTAAATAATTTACAATTGCTGTCACCCTGTTTACATGTATACCGGCTTAGCCAGTTGACAATATTCTAAATGCAGTGAGAAGCAAGTGAGCCACATGTGACAATGTCAATGTATTTTAGACATGCAGTAGCGTTCTTGAACGGTTCGAAATTTAGACGAAATTATATGTATTTCTCGAAAATAGACAATATCGCCAAATGCTTTTCCACGCGTTTGGGTCTATTGAGTATATGCCATGACATGCAGCTGTTCTCTAGATCTTTCGAAGATTGAGAAGAGGTGTTTATATACGGAGGCAAGCCAACCGCGCGCTCGCCAGCTGACTCTTTTGTTTTGTTTTGGATTAATGCAATAAAACTCGTATATACTGTCGTACAAAATGAATTTGCAGTGAATAACTAGTTAAGTTAAAGCAATGCCTGACTTTAAGTTTAATTTATGTAGATCCAAAAGACCAAAATATATAAAATTACGGACAAATTATGTACTTCATCCTATACTCCCTCCGATAACATAACAGTGAAATGTCGTCACGACTTTTAGTGAATTCTTAATATATTTCTTTCAAAAATCCCAAAAGAAAAGACATGACTGAACCAAAAAATTGAGTACAAGTCAATAGCGAACTTTTGTACGCTATTCCATGCTCGCCATTTTGATTTTGATTTCGTGAGAACTACGTAATTTTTCCAAAAAAATGACGTAATTTGTCAGTTTGTGGTCTACCAAATTTGATTCTAAACCAATCTTGAAGAAAGAAGTTTTGACGAAATGTCATTCTGAGGTCAGCGAAATAGTTGATGCCTACCAAAGGGCAAAACTAGAGTCGGTGGGCACTACAGTGGCCCCGCCGACTAATAATATTTTATCAATTACAAAAAACAAATGTGAAAAAATGACCTCGCAGTAAAACGATTACGTCATGCATTTTAAACAATTACGTCATACAATAACATTAACGCATGTATTGTAAAAGCTCGCTCACACTCAATGAGTGGAAGTTGAATCTAGCTAAGCTTCTCTCGAGTGTCATTGCTGTTTTTGAATAGCTGGAGGGCTAGTATTTTACCTCACGATGTGACTACTCACCCTCCAGCTATTCAAAAATAGCATTGACACTCAAGAGAAGCTCAGAATCAACCTCCACTTATTGAGTGTGAGTGAGCTTTTACAATACGGGCGTAAGTCATTTTCATTCCGGAAATGCTTAAAATTCTATTGTTTCAATTTCTCAAAGTTATTATTATTATATCCACCTAGTTTTATAAGTACTGTTTTCCGTTTGTGCACGATGAAGCACTTGAGGATGCTGTGAAAATTCGGCGCAAATATTTCTTTAAAGGATACTAGTATGAGCCAAGTACACACGCAAATCTCACGTGATCACATGAAAATCTCACATGATCACATGTGGTAACAAGTCTGCCAACAAGCCATCAACAAGTTGTCTGCAAGCGCTGCTTGTCTCAAGTTGTCAACAAGTATGGAACAACTTGTGTTAACAACTTGTAACAATTAATTAAGCTTGATGGCATTATCGGACTTGTTACAAGCTTGTTCCAGCAAGTCCGTTACATGCTTGATACAACATTATTGTTACAACCTTGTGTTGTCAACCTTGTAACAACCTTGTTATATATCATGGTTGCAACAAACTTGTTAGAACAGCCTTGTAACAAGTCTAATAATGCCATCAAAGCTTGTTAACAGTTGGTTGTTACAACTTGTTTACAGCTCGTTCCAAACATGTTCCAATTACTGAGAACAAACGGTGCGAAGACAACTTGTTACAGCTTCTTCACAGACTTCTAACAACCTGTTTGAAGACTTGATACAAGTTGTGCGTTTTTACGTGTGTACGTAATGCTATGATGGCTATTCTTTGTTTGAAATGACGTCATTTTTCATCCAAATGACCGGCAATCAAGCAACTTGTGGACGATTTTTCTCCTATCAGAATTGTTGCAGCAAGAAAAACTGAACGGTTATTCATCTTTTGAGTCTTAAACTGTCTCCAATTAAACTCGATCGATACATTAAAATAGCCGTTTTTGTTATACCTGCCCGTGAACTGAAATCCCCAAATTACGTCATTACAAACAAGAATTGAACTGAATAAACTTGGAACTTATATATTCTCCCAGCCGAGGTTAAATTTTACTTTCAAACGAGCGCTACGGTTAAAGAACTTATTAAAATGAGTAAAATTGCAAAATTTGGTTACGAAATGTTGTAAAATACAGAAAATATAGCCTAACGAAGTTTGCATATTTTCAGTATGCTTGTATTACGTTTGTATATATGTATATATGTATATATATATATATATATATATATATATATATATATATATATATATATATATATATATATATATATATATATATATATATATATATATATATATATATATATATATATATATATATATATATATATATATATATATACAAACAGGTTATAACACTGCCACGACTCCAAGTGAAATTATTTAATAAAAAAATATATATAGCTTTAAATTTTTTAAATTTTTATATATATATATATAATATATATATCTGTTTATATATATATATTATATATATATATATATATATATATATATATATATATATATATATATATATATATATATATATATATATATATATATATATATATATTATATATATAT